CGAAGCTGAAAGCGCAATAAGCCATTTCTGAGCGAGCCTCTATTACATGTCATAGCAATTGGTAGATTACTATTTACTAGCTATAATAAATTTAATACTTGCTCGTGTAGGCATAAAATACCATAGTAACAAGATATGACTTGACTTGGCTCACGAGGTTTCATGTGGACTGTGGTTTCGGCTATCATTGTGCTGATAGTCGTGTCGGCCGATGAGTTAATTCTGAATCCTCCACAATCCTCAAATTTCTAACTCCTAAAAGGCTGGTAACACACTTGTAACGCCTTGGTATTTCAGGTGTCCATGGGCGACGCCGATTGCTCACCATCTGCTGCTCGTTTACCGGCTTATGTCATAAAAAAAGAATATTATAGCAATTGTGCAAAGTGTGGGAGAGCCATTCTTCGGTACGAATGGGTCGGCTCGACCGGAGTGATACCACGGCCTGTTTCGTCGTAAGAGTGAGGTTACCGGAGGCCCAATTACCCTCCCCTTCCCCAATCTCCCTAATTCCTGAATCCCCAATGATCCTCAAACTCCTCATCCCCAAAAAGCCGGTACCGCACTTGTAATGCTAGTGTTCCAGGTCTCCATGGGCGACGCAGATTGCTTACCATCCGTCTGCTCGTATACCAGGCTTATGCCGTAAACAAAATGTGCTTGAGGAATGTACCTCTACATACACATACTACATCTTGTGAACTGGCTTAATAAAAATAGCATACCTACGAAATTAAAGCAAAAAATAAAAATGGTAATGATGAACTGGTTCCTTATGCTAAATTGTAGACAGACGGAAAGTTTTAAAAATTTTGTTCGTATATAGCACGTCGACGTATGTATAAGTATTGACCTTGACCTTGTGTGCAGGAAATATATTGTCAAGGCTCTAGTCTGCAAATAAAAGTCTTCTCTATTTTGCATAAGTAGGTACTTTTATGTGCCGAGTGCCGAGTGGTCGCAAGTGCGACTGCCGGGTAAGGGGCTTTCGGATTCGATTCCTAATACTACTGGGTTTGTAAAAAATTCTCAGTGATAGCACGGAGTCTGGAATTGTGCCTGGTATATGGCAATAGGCTCACCCCCTATTACATGGGACTCGTAACATAAATAGTGAAAAGTGAGTGTTACATTGTACAGTAGCATTAAGTACCGTAATGTGCACCTCTACCTATCCCTTTGGGGGTAAAAGGCGTGATGTTATATTAAGTTATTTATCTTTAAATCACACAGGTAAGTACCTATGTCAGAATTTACTTATTCATCATCATGAACAGCCTATATACTTATAGAGGCCTTACTTTAAAACTTTTTTGAAGAAAAAAGTAGAAGGGTTGAGAGCATTAATCACCTCGCTTGCTCAATGCGAGTTGGCGATTTCAAACTTATAATTAGAAGTCTAGATTTCCTCACGATGTTGTCCTTCACCGTCTGTCAGTGGTGTCTAAATAATCTTAGAAAGTACATATAACTCGGAAAAACTCACATTGGTACTTGCCTTTGGTAGGTTTTGGACCCGCACTCTCGTGCATATGAAGTGAGAAGCGGGCGTCATAAGCCTCCGGGCGACCACGACATTTCTGTACTTCTTTTTTTCTCTTCTTTGGCAACCGAGATTACTGTACTTATTCATAGCAACTGGATCGGGTACTTGCCAACTAGTCAAATTCAATACTTTTTTCGAACTGTCAAAAACTACAGTTTTCTATGAATTTTGTACGAGACTGTGTATTGTGACGTCACGTTTTTTAGCGTCAAACAGAATACGTACTTATTGTTAAAAAAATTGCTGGAAAAATACTTAAATTAAGTTAGTCATATCATAACATAAC